TGGTTCCTCAGAATTTCAATGGGATTTATAAGTAGGTCTAAAAGGGTGCAGGACAAAGTTGCATTGTGTTTTCACTTGACTGCAGTGTTTTATGACCATAAATTCATTAACACTCACAACAAGCTTGTGTGTAGGCAGTGGAAAATAGTCTCCCCCCTCCCCCCCCAACCCAGTATTTACACACTGAAAAATTCAGGCTTAGAAAGAAAAGACTAGTCTATTGACAGGCCACCAGTGATCCAACTTGGGTTTCTTAACTCCAGTCTAGTCCTCTTCCTCCTCTGGGGTGTTATGTTTCTTTTTGACTTTCAAAAACCTCAAATTATTTTCCTTAAAAAAAATCATGATCCTTAGACAACAGAACAAGACACCTCACACTCTTGGCCAAATTCTGCCTGGAGCCCTCAGCTTTAGAGGGGGAATCATTGTGGAGACCATGACCACAACAGGCGCTTCCTTGCCAGGTGGTCCATGTGGTTTCTTTTTTCGGTGCTGCTGCCCTGTAGTTTTCCTGTCATGGCCAGAGGGTAAGCATGGGGGCATGTATTTTTGTTTTTAAAAGTTAATTTTTTGGGTGTACCCATCTCTTCCTAGCTGCTGGGTATGGTTCCAAGTTCCAGTTCCAGAAGCAAGGCCAGCACCTGGCATTTCCAGCATTTGCAAGGAAGGGAGGGTGTGAATAACCCCTTCCTAGATCTCAGGACTTGGATATTGTGACGCTGCCTTTGGAGTCAGAGGATGTGGATTGAAATCCGGCTGCTGCCACTTACCTGTGTGACCCGACATTAGTCATGCTACCTTTCTGGGCCTTCGTTTCCCCATCTGTAAAATGAGAGTGTTGGCCTACATGTCTTCTGACTTGTAGCTCTAGACTTAATGCTACTATGATTCTAAGGGCAGGGGCAATTTCTTCTATGTTATCCCTTCCACTTTGTGACTTTTCCCATTGCAGTTTTGATAGACTGTGGGTTGGCAAAAGAAATTAAATGCGAATTTTTAAGGAGTTTTAATGGAAGCTGCCGATGACATATGAAGGCCAGCAGATGACACAGAAAAAGTTTAGAAACTCAGAAATGCATAAAGTATATGTACAGTATTGTATAATATCAACCCAAATTTTACAAGATATTGTAAACACCCCATAAAAGGAAAAGAAAAATTTCAGACTTCTTCTCTGGCATGAAGGGAGGGCCAAAATATTTTACATGGATTTTTCAGATCATGACGGCACCATACCCCCTAACCCCCGCAATGTGGAAGGGATAACTATTTTCTTTTTACTCCAAAACCCTTTAAGAAGCAAGTATAGCATTAAACAAAGAGCAGTCACTCAGGAAATACTGTTGACTAACAGTACGGTAGTGTACAATGTATTTACAATATTCACCTTACCGCCCCCTCCTTTCCTGATGAAGAATGATTTTGCCTAAACCTGCTCCCATAACTCAGTTCATGCATTAACTTCCTTATTTAATGACTTTGCATATATTTGTATTTATTCACTTTGCATTTGTACTATATAGATGTACATACATATGTATAGATGTACTTATAGATGTACTTGTCACCCCCCCCACGTTAGAATGTAAGCTCACTTTAAGAAGGGATTATTTCACTCTTTGTGCTTGTATTCCCAGGCCTGGCATGTAGTAGGTGCTTAATAAATACTTGTTGACTTATTGTTTATGGTCTTGGATGATACAAAAATAACATGAAAAAAAAACCTGCCCTAAAGTTTATAGTCTACCTGGGGAGACAAGACAATGAAACGCAGAAAAATACAAGACAGCAAATGACAGAGAACTAGGTTATGAGGTCAAGACAGTGTTGAAGGAGTGCTTCAGGAGAGAAGAGATTGGTCAGCATGAGCAGGAATACTTGGAGGAGGTAGGACCTGATATGGGCAGGATTTGGAGTAGGAGAGACAATAGGAAGAGCAGTGTCATGATCAGTAAGACTATATATAAGCATCACACGGATAGGAGAGAGTGTGGAGACCAGCCCCACTGGACTGAAGGGTTTGTGTCCTTCAGTAGGAGTTAGGGTAAGCAGGTTTGTGTTGAGTATTGAATGCCCACAGGAGAAGTTTGGCATTGGGAAGCCAGTGAGGATTTTTGAGGAGGGTAATGACACACAAAAAAGAATGTTTTAGGAAGATTGGTCTGGCACCTCTTTGTGCAGCTTACCAAATGCGATCCAACTTCATCTCCTTTTACCAATAGATTTAGGGACTACTATTAAAATGTGTGTGTCCGTGTGTGTGTAATTGGTTTCCCTTATAAATCCTGTGCATTTTATTTTATTCATTTAAAAATATTATTCTGAAAGGGCATCCGTAGGTTTCCCCAGAGGGTTCCGTGAAACAAAAAAATGGCTCTAGATTTTGCAACAAGTCAAAGCTGTACAAGAATAAAATAGTTTAGCATCCATCAAAAACTTTACTACAGAAGCTTGAGAAGTTCATAAATTAGAGAAGAGAGAAAACTCCTGAGGATAGCTGGTTGCCTGTATGGTTGCAAGAAGTCTAAATTAAAGAAAATGCAAGCTGGACTGAATATAAAACAACTTGTGTGCTTTTTTAAAATTTAAAACATTTTAATTTATAGAATAAAATAAGCACTGCCATAACATAGTACAATAAAAAGATGATTATACATGAAACTGCAAATCTGCCATGCGCTTCTTGCTATTCCTTTCAAATATACAACAAAATTATTGTGTAAATTTCTTTTTTTCCCTTTTTCTCCCTCCCTTCTCTACCCTCCAGAGATGGTTACCACTAAACGCAAATAGGTACATGTATGCAAAATTATTCTATACATATTTCTATTTATCAGTTCTTTCTCTGGATGTAGATAGCATCTTTCTTCATATATCCTTTATACTTAATTTGGGTATTTATAATAGACAAAATAACATTCTCTCAAAGTCATTCTTAAAACAATATTGCTGTTACTACAGACAACATTCTCTTGGTTCTGCTCACATTGCTTTTCATTATTTCATTGAAGTTTTTCCATGTTCTTGTAAAATCATTGAGCTTTTTTTTTTTTAGGCAGTTGGAGTTAAGTGACTCGCCCAGGGTCACACAGCTAGTAAGTGTCAAGTGTTTGGTCTGAGGCTGGATTTGAACTTAGGTTCTCTTGACTTCAGGGCCAGTGTTCTATGCACTGCACCACCTAGCTGCCTCAAACTCATCATTTTTTAGGGCAGGGTAGTATTCCATCACAATCATACACCACAAGTTGTTCAGCCATTCCCCAATCGATGGGCATCCCCTCAATCTCCAGTTCTTTGCCACCACAAAGAGGGCTACTATAAACATTTTAGACCATATAGATAGGTTCTTTTCCTTTTTCCCTAATCGTCTTTGGAAATAGACCAAGTATTGGTATTGCTGGGTCAAAGGGTATATATAACATTTTAATATAACGTAGTGGTTTATGTCAAGGGAGGTAGTAAACTTTAGTTTCCTTGCAAAAATAGAAAGTAGTAAAACCAGAAAAGATCCATTGGTTCAAATGCTTAACAGTCGTACATGAATGACTAATAATGCACCATACTAACTTCCTGGCAGACTCAAGCATGATCTCACCTTTCTTAGCAGAAGGCATCATGTATAGACTATCAAAAGACGGGAATACTGATGACTCTCCACATATAGGCCAATTATGTGTTTATGTACCTTACATTCACATTTATGTACTTTGCTTTCACAACTTGTAGGCTATAAACATTTACGAGGAAGCAATAAATTGTCTGAAGAACAAGAAAGATTTGCCGGAAAGTTCAGGGATATATAGAACAATTTATTATTGCTTTGGTAATTAGTGGACAACCTTCCTGAATGTGTCATGACATTTAGACTACCTCAAATCCTTTTGCACAGTTTTACACTCATGGCTTATTCATTTATTACAAATATGTAAAAATATTCCCAAGTAATAACAAGAATGCTAGATATTTGATGTCCACATGAAAAGCCTTTTTTTTTCAAGCTTCTGCTAACACAGTAATATCAAGAGTAATTCGTATTGAATGTGGCGACTTCCAGAGTGGGTTTAAATTCCTTGTGGTGCTGCCTAGCCTTAAACCTATTACCATTCCTCCTAAATAAAACTAAATATGTCTTCCAAATTATGGGGAATTTCGTCTTTGGAGGGGCATTGGTGGGGACGTATCTTCCAACTTGTTGAGAGTTGTATTAAGTTAATATTTACTTTTTGTTATTCTGTGCTTGATAAAAACCAATATCACCTATTAAGTTAATAAATCCTCTCTTGTGTCAAATAAAAATATTCAAGCAAGCAAATCCACACATTAGTCATGTCTGAAAATCTACATAATTTTACGTTTTGAGTCCGTTGTGCCTCTGTCAGGAGGTAGGAAACTTGCTTCATTTTTGGCTCTGATAACTTCATATAAATCTTCTCATGTTTCTGTGAATCCATCCCTTCATAATTTCTTACAGCATGTAATATTATATTGCAATACAGTGTGCTAAAATATTACAATATACTAGAATATATATTATTATAGTTATATTATAATTTGTTCAGTCATTCCCAAATTGATAGGCACTACCTTATTTTCTAGTTCTTTGTTGTTACAAAAGTGTTAGTACACATGGGTTCTTTCTTTTTGATCTCTTTGGGGTATATGCTAAGTAATGGTGTCATTTGGTAAAAGGATATGCATAGTTTAGTGACTTTTTGAGTATACTTCCAAACTGTTTTCCAGAATAGCTAGACTAATTCAGAGCTCTACCAATAGTGCATTAGTGTGTCTAGCTTTTCCTATAACCCTCCCAATAATTGTCATTCTCCATTTTTGTCATCTTTGCCAATCTCGTGGGAATAAGATGGAACCCCAGAGTTGTTACAATTGTTTTTAGTAATATGGAGCATTTGTTTTAATATGGTTTTTGATAGCTTGTCTTTCTTCTTTTCAGAAATTCCTTTTTTTTTTTTAGGCAATTGGAGTTAAGTGACTTGCCCAGGGTCACACAGCTAGTAAGTATCAAGTGTTTGGTCTGAGTCCAGATTTGAACTCAGGTCCTCCTGACTTCAGGGCCAGTGCTGTATCCACTGTGCCACCTAGTTGTCCCATTGTCTTTCTTCTTTTGAGAACTGTTAATATGCTTCAACACATCTATCTGTTGGGGATTACCTCCCGTTCTTATATGTTTATTTGCACCAATTCCCTATATATCTTGGATACCAGACCTTATTAGGAAAACTTGCTGTAAATATTTTTCCAAATTAATTGGTTCCCTTCTAATTTCAGCTGTTTGGAATGTATTTGTGGTTTGTTTGGTTTTTTTTTTGGGGGGGGTGAGGCAATCAGGATTAAGTGACTTGCCCAGGGTCACACAGCTAGTGAGTATCATGTGTCTGAGGCCAGATTTGAACTCAGGTCCTCCTGACTCCAGGGCCAATGCTCTATCCACTGTGCCACTTAGCTGCCCCTTTGAAATGTATTTGTGCAAAAACTTTTCAATTTTTTGTATTCAAAATTATACATTTTATTTCTTGTAATTTCTAGCTCTTACTAGGTTATGAAGTATTCTCTTCTCCATAGTTGTGAGAGGTATCTTCTTTCCTGATCTTGTAATTTCTTTATGATGTGACCTTTTCTATCATGTTATGTATCCATTTTTAATTTATTGAGACATATGGTATGAGATGTTGGCCTAAACCTGACATTTGCCAGACTGCTTTCCAATTGTCCCAGTAGTTTTTGTTGAATAGTGAATCCTTACCCCAGTAGTTGGGGTCCTGGATATTATGAAGTGCTATTTATCCTAACTCTATCTTGTATTAGTTTGTTCCACTGATCAACTTTTCTACTTTTTTTAACCAGTAACGATTTTTAAATAATTACAACTTTGAATCATAGTTTGAGACCTGGCCCTGGTATTGTTCTTTTCTTGCCACTTTTTTTTTCATTATTTCTCTTGAGATTTGTGAATTTTTGTTTCTCCAGATGAATTTTGTTATTTTTTCTAGCTCTATAAAGTAATTCATTTGTAATTTGATAGTTATGTCACTAAATAAGTAAATTATTTTAGTTAATAGTGTGTTTTTATTAATTTGTCATGTCCTGGTTATCAAGAGCTAATATTTACCCAATTATTTAGGTCTGCCCTTATTTCTATAAATAGTGTTTTTAGCTGTATTCATATAGTTTTTCTTGGTAGTTTGTCTTGGTAGATAGGCTTAAAGATATTTTTTACATTCTTTGGTCATTTTGTCCTTTAAATAGATTTTTATTGATATATTTTATTCTTACAGTACATAAATTTCACCCTTTATCCTTTTCTTTCTTTCTTTCTTTCTTTCTTTCTTTCTTTCTTTCTTTCTTTCTTTCTTTCTTTCTTTCTCTTTCTTTCTTTTTCTTTCTTTCTTTCGTGAGGCAATCGGTGTTAAGTGACTTGCCCAGCATCACACAGCTAGTAAATGTCATGTGTCTGAGGCTGGATTTGAACTCAGGTCCTCCTTACTCCAAGGCTGGAGCTTATCCACTGCACTACCTAGCTGCCCCCCTTTATCCTTTTCTTATCCCTCTTCCAGAGAGCCAGCCATCAAAGAATTTTTAGAAAGAAGAAGAAAAGAACAAAAAATTCAGCAAAACCTATCATTGTACGAAAAAAATCTGATGCTATTATGAAATGTTCCATGCCCATCTATCCCCTGATGCTACAAAGGAGTCATGGAAGGCTTCTTTTCATGATTTGTCTTTGGGACCAAGTTATTTATATGAATCCCCTTTCACATATTTATTATGTGAAATAGGAAGTTTCACCCCCTTCCTGCTTTCTTTGCATATTCTTTCTCCTCTTAAGATCATCAAAACATAACAAAACCATCCCTGAGCCCTCTGACTATCTTATTTAATTTCTTCTATCACCTTTGAAGATATTAGAGTTTTGAGGGAGCAGTTGTTTCTTCTTTCCCTTTTAGAATGCAAACTCTTCTTCATCTTAGAGTTACTTCTTTAGTGTTCTCTAAACTCCTTTGAGAGTTCCCCCCCCACCCCATAATGCTTAGAAATCCTCTATTTCACCAAAATCCCAATATACTCAGTTTTTCCAGGCAAATTATTCTTGGTTAATAAGCTTTTATATTTTGCCTTTTGGAATGTTGTATTCCAAGCCTGCCTCTCCTTCATGGTATTAATTGACAATTCTTATGTGATCCTGACTGATTACTTGGTATTTGAACTCTTTATTTATGGCTACTCAATATTTTTATTTGATCTAGAAGCTCTTAATTTTGGCTACAGTATTCTTAGGAGTTTTTATTTGAGGATTTCTTTCAGGAGGTGACTAGTATAATCTATTTATACTTTCCCTCCACTTTCTATTTCTGCTTTCCTTCTGATTCTAGTAGATGTAGGCAGTTTTCATTTATGATTTCTTTTAAAAAAACATTCTTATTTATTTCATTAAATATTTCCCAATTACATGCAAAATTTTTTAGCATTCATTTCAAAAACTTTAAGTTCCAAATTATCTTCCCCTTTTCTGTTCCCCCACCACTTTGAGAAGGGAAGCAATTTGATATCAATTATACACATGAAGCCATGCAAAACATATTTCTGTATTAGCCCTGTTGCAAAAGAAAACACAGACAACAACAAAAAAGAAAAACAAAGTTAAAAAAAGTAAGTTTCAATCTGCATTCTGAGTTCATCTCTGGTAGTTCTCTCTCTGAAGGTGGATAATATTTTTTCATCATGGGTCCCTTTGGAATTGTCTTGTATCATTGTGTTGATCAGAGTAGCTAAGTCTTTCACAGTTGATCTTCCTTACAATATTGCTGTTACTGTGTACAGTATTTTCTTGGTTCTGCTTACTTCACTTTGCATCACTTGCAATAAATCGCCCCAGGTTTTTCTGAAACCATCCTGATCATCACTTTTTATAGCATGGTAGTATTCCATCACAGTAATATACGACAACTTGTTCAGCCACTTCCCAATTGATGGGCATCTTTTCCAATTATTTGCTACCACAAAAAGAGCTGCTATAAATATTTTTAAACATATAGGTACATTTCCTTTTTCTTTCATCTTTTTTGGAATGCAAACTTAGTTGTGATATTGCTGGGTCAAAGAGTATGCACAGTTTTATAGCCCTTTGGGCATGCTTCCATATTGTTCTCCAGAATGATTGAACTAGTTCACAACTCCATCAACAAACATCAGTGTCCCAATTATTCCACATTCTCTCCAGCATTTGTCATTTTCTTTTCTGTCATGTTAGGCAATCTGATACGTGTCAGGTAGTATCTAAGAATTGTTTTAATATGCATTTCTCAATTGATAAATGGTCAAAGGATACGAACAGGCAGTTTTCAGATGAAGAAATTAAAACTATCTATAGTTATATGGAAAAATGCTCTAAATCAGGGCTTGTTAAACTTTTTCCACTTATGACCCCTTTTTGAGTTTTGGCAGCATTCAATGGTGTTGCATGGCCTGAGGACATGTACAATGCAAAGTGCTCATGCTTTGTGTTCAGAACCAAGGTTGGAGTGATGTGCAATGCAACATGGGCAAGTGCTACCAGAAACGTCTTGGATTCATTACACATTTGATTTTTAATTAACTTTTTGGTTGCTTTGCATTCAGAAACCTTTTACTGTTGTGAAGTTGGAACCCACAGTTTAAGAAGCACTTCTTTAAATCACTATTGATTAGAGAAATGCAAATTAAAACAACTCTGAGGTACCACTTCACACCTATCAGATTAGCTAATATGACAAAAAAGGAATGGTAAGTGTTGGAGAAAATGTGGGAAAATTAAAATACTAATGCATTATTGGTGGAGCTGTGAACTGATCTAGTCATTCTGGAGAGCAATTTGGAACTATGCCCAAAGGGCTATAAAACTCCTTTCTCCAGCAATACCACTACTAGGTCTGTATCCCAAAGAGATCATAAAAAAGGAAAAAGGACCCACATGTACAAAAATATTTACAGCAGCTCTTTTTGTGGTGGCCAAGAATTGGAAATTGAGGGGATGCCTATCAATTGGGGAATGGCTAAACAAGTTGTTGTATATGAATGTAATGGAATACTATTGTGCTGTGAGAAATGATGCACAGGTGGATTTCAGAAAAACCTGGAAAGACTTGCATGAACTGATGGTCAGTGAAGCAATCAGAACCAGGAGAACATTGTACACAGTAACAGCAACATTGTGTGATGATCAGCTTGGATAGACTTAGTTCTTCTCAGCAATGCAATGATCTAAGACGATCCTAAAGGACCTATAAAGGAAAATGCTGTCCAAATCCATAGACAGAACTATGGAATCTGAGTGCAGATCAAAGCATACTATTCTTTTTCTCTCTCTTGTTTTTCTTTCTTGTGGTTTTTCCCTTTTGTTCTGATTCTTCTTTCACAACATGACTAATGTGGAAATATGTTTAATATGATTGTACATGTATAGCCTAAATCAGATTGCTTACCATCTTTGGGAGTGAGGAGGGAAAGGAGAGAAGGAGAAAAATATTTGGAACTCAAAATCTTATAAAAGTGAATGTTGAAAACTATCTTTGCATGTAATTGAAAAAAAAATTACTAAGTGGGAAAAGCAATATGTATTTCTCTAATTAGTAGTGATTCAGAACATTTTTTTCATGTGATTGTTGATAGCTTTGATTTCTCCTTCTGAAAACTACCTGTTCGTATCTTTTGACTATTTATTAACTGGGGAATGGCTCTTATTTTTACAAATTTGGTCAGTTCCCTATATATTTGAGAAAGGAGGCCTTTATCAGAGAAACCTGCTGTAAAAATTTCCCTCCATTTCCTGTTTTCCATCTAATTTTGGCTGCTAGTTTTGTTTGTGCAAAAGCTTTTTAATTTCACATAATCAAAACCATCCATTTTACTTCCCATGATTTTCTTTCTCTTTTGCTTGGTCACAAACTCTTCCATTATCCATAGATCTGACAGGCACATTTTTCCATGCTTCCCTAATTTACTTATGATATCAGCATTT